TTAGAGAATCTCCCAAATAAGAGTAAAGAATAATTTATTGTATTTTTATATACGTCCTTGAGTTAGTATCTTTTATTTATGAAACTTTAAACATTTCATCTTTTAGTATTGCTTTGTATTGAATTGAGTTGAGTTGAGGTGATTATTCTTCTAGTCTTATCGGTTCACTTATCTATGCATTCGATCTTTTTTACATACTCGTACATTCAATGTATTGGTGTCATTCAACCTGCATCTTATTATGATGCAGATACAAGTGTTCAGGGTCATCAATATGTGCTTCTTTGAGATCACTTGCACTCCAATTAGCTTTGATAAGCCTCATTTCTTTCAGAGGATTTCACATTTATTTTCCTGTTATTGTTGAGTTGTCGTGGGTCTTTCCCCAAAATTTATTCTAGTATTAGAGGCTTCATAGACAGTTAGAGTTGATGAGTCTCTCAGTGTGTTCCTTTTTTTTTTTTTTCGTGATCTTGAGACTATTGAGTTTGGTTATGCATTTAAAGTTCCCTATTCCCTTGAGTAAGTCTTCCATTAAGTAGTCAGTCAGGCCAAGGATTTGTTTGGGGACCAGCGATGGTTCTCTAATGTCGGCCACGTCCAGGATGTAGACTTTGGGCATAACATATTTATATTATGTGTTGAATTCCTTTTCTTTTTTTTTTGTGCATTTACTTTATATAATTTTTACATCCAAAGACGAACTAAGGATAGATTCATGGTAGTGGAAGTGATATCATGCAACATTGTCTCATTTGATATTCTTACATATAGATAGAAATTAATGACATAAGTGAATGAAGTTGGCTTTGTGGATCGTGGTTTGAGAACCATTTTGCTTACGTTAGGTTGCATGTTTTGAAACCTATCACCTACATATTTTATGCATTTTTTAAAGTTATCGGCTAAAACTGAAAATGAAGAAACCTAAACTCGAACTCAAGTCACGCATTGATGTTCTCGGGCAAAAGAGGGCACCCCTGACCAGAGGCGGACCCACATGCTATTGTGGAGTGCACGTACACCCGTTAACTTATGAAAAATCATGTATATATATGTATATTTATCTTGAGAAACTGACAAAAACTAAATATATTTAATAGTGCCCCCATAAAAAGTATGAAATGCTTTGTACTAATGATATAAGCTAATAGATCCTCTCTCCCTGATCTCACTCGCCCTCTCACTTTATACAAACACAAATGTATAAATTGTGTTTGCGTTTGTATAAAGTGAGAGAAAACTGTATATACAAATACATATCTCTTCGTCTTATACACTTGTAATTATACAATACAAATCTTCATCTTCCCAGTTCTCTTTTGTCTTTCTCTCTTTCTTGCTTTATACAAACACAAATTATGCAAAATACAATATATAATTTGTATTTGTATAAAGCGAGAGAGAGATTTTATATATACAAATACAACTGTTTTAACTCGATTCAATAGTACACGAATTCAAACACAAAGAACATATACATACATAAACACAATTTTCATAGACACAGACGCTCGATTTATACAAATTACTGCGATTTATACAAATCAGATGCCAACGATTTTATACAAATCAAAGCTGCATGCGATTTTTATACAGATCTAATGCTCAGTTTACTATGGAATAGTTTGCTATGGAACACAAATAGCAAAACTGTAGCTATAAAATTGATTTTTATGTTTGTTAAACCTAAAATTTACCTTTTAAAATATATGATAGTTCTTCAAGGTATAAGTGCGTTTTCCAAATTAACATATTCACGTGCACTCCCAACCCACCACATGGTCGGCTATGTTCACACCTCTCAATAAAAAAAATTCTACTTTCACCACTGTGACCAAAATTCTAAATTATTTTTGGGAAAAAGTTATGTTTTCAGCTTTTGAATTATAACTTTTACTACCATCAAAAACACTTACAATTAATCCAACATGGACTAGCCATTTTTTATTGATCTTTTCTTTTCTAGGTGTTGACGAGACAAAGAAAATTCATCTTAATTTTTCACTTTTATAATGATATCTTATAAAAAAGAATACCTACCATAAGGTAAATAAGAGTTCCGACTAAAGAAATATGATATCAATTGAAGGTAAATAAATTTTTTAGTTTCTAAAAGGAATCCACTCTAACACAAAATTCATGGCATGGTATTTTGACCCATCTAGATATTCGTTTTAATCAAGACTGAAAACTTAAATGATGGGAAAAAACAAACAAACACACAAAAAAATTACTAACATAACGTATCAAAATAAAGTTGACAAAGTCTATATAACACACTAATAAAGTTTACAAAATCTATAAGCAAAATCAATTCTTTATCTGGTAGTAGAAGGAATTTACTATTGCAAGAATAAGTTAGATGTTTACTAATTGAATAGAAATTGTCTTATTAAGAAATACTTTGAAAGAGAATATGGGAATAGTATCAAATCCACGTATAAATATTGTACTCAAGTTGTCATTACTAGCTTTAATCATTTTTTTTTTTGGTTAAAAAGGTTAATGTTTCGCTACCATAGTTAGAAGTTAAAGCAAGATTTTCAAAATGAACTGACTTATTATACGTAGCTAGTGTTATTATTTTACTAATTGACAATCCCTTTTATCGTCTTTTAGTATTTTTTGATGTAGGCCAGAGGGTTTACCTAATTGAAAAAAAGTTAAAGATGATTTTTTTGAATAATATAGATTTCTCTAAAATGTCCTTGTGTAGAAACATAGAGAGTTATCTTGAAGAAATATCTAGATATTTTAGATTAGTTGCTAGAAGATAAGTTCACTAGAACTTTCTTATAGATTTAATGAATGTGTAGATATTCTAGAGAGCTAGATATTTGTAATAAAGTTAAAGATGACTTTTGAATTATATAGATTTCTCTAGAATGTTTTAGTGTTGAAACATAGAGAGTTATCTTAAAGAAATATCTAGATATTCTAGAGTAGTTTCTAGAAGATAAGTTCACTAGAACTTTCTTGTAGATCTAATAAATGTGTAGATATTCTAGAGAGTTAGATATTTATAATAACCATAGAATAGTCTAGATCTTGTAATATCTAGAACCATCCCACATAAGTATAACTAGGGGTGACCTTAGTCATTTGTAAACCAAAAAAATAAAATTTGAAAGCAATTCAAGGGCGTTCTTCCATAACAAGTTTTCCTTTCTAATTAAATACTTCTTTTTCTTTTCTAGCTTCCTTTTCTTTAGTTAAATCTTCTGATCTTAGTTGACGATCTTGGGCTAGCAGAAAGTTTTTTGAATTATACTTTTGTTTTGCTATTCTATACAGAACAAAACGTGGGGCTGACTGCTTCTTGTTAGCTTGGTACCTTGCTTAGCCAAAATATCTGCTACCTTATTGGTGTTGTGCCGGACCACTGGATTCCCCAACTTCTTCAAAAGTGACTTGCATGACATAGTAATAGATTCGTAAGTAGGTTGGTCGTGTTCTAGAAGTTGTATAATTTCAATGGAATCGATCTCTACTTCAATTGGGTACAGGTTAAAGGAGACAACCAGATGAATGCCTGTTTGGAGGGCTTCGAATTTAGCCATGGTATGAGTATGGCTGAAACATTTGTTAACAAAACCTACAACTCATTCACCATCAGTGTTCCTGATGACTCCACCCGCTTCAATCTCGTCCTTGTCAGGTGAGAAAGACACTCGATAAAAATATTATATATCACGAAACGATATTGATCACTTTAGAAAATAAATGCGAAGAAATAAGAACCGAATAATTGCTCATTTTGATAAGATGATAAAATAATATATTTTCAAAAGACCCATATATAACTATATGGTCTCATTAATATTTAAAATTAATAAATTCTTAAAAGTACAAATATATTTAAGACAATTTAGTGAAATATGATTCTATTGTGTTTTTATTTTTTTATATTAAAAATTAAATCTAGTTGAAGTTCATTTCTAACTTTTCTTGTTGCATCCAAAAATTTCGGTGTTGCTACGACTGCAAATCTTTTTGAGTGCATGTGGGATGATATCTTTTGTTCTCACATAATGTTTTACATATTTAATTTGTTATTGTTGATTTTGTGACACCTTTTAAATGAGAAGCCATTTTTGGATATGTTTTTCCTATATTGCTTATATAATTTATTCTCTCATCATTATACATCGATTGTTCTTAGTAAAGATACAATGAATACTATTTGATTATTAAAAAATAATGAATATTATGTATAATGAATTTATTTTTATAATGAATCATTGAATTCTTGAATTTATTTTACAATGAGTCATTTAACAAAAAAAATATATTACATTGAATCATGCCATACATTGTACTTTATGCATAATGATTTTTTTTTTGTTTTTATATCAATTCAATAAATGTAATTTAGTAAGATACAATGATTTTGATGTATTCATTGTACTTTATATATTTTATTTTTATTTTTATGTGAATTCAATAAATATGACACACAAATTAGTAAGATACAATGATTTTGATGCAAATAAATTAACCTTCACTGAATTTCAAAACACTCTTTTAATTAATAAATATTAATTTATCGATACAATAATTTCTATAAAATAAGAATATTTTATGATCCACCTATATTAATTTAGTGAGATTTTATCATTCGTGATCTAAACCAAATAAAAAGTATTATAAACTTAACGAAATGTAATATAAATAACTTAATACATTCGAAACAGAAAACTAATAACACTCTTTTTGTTTACTTATCCAATATAATTAAAAATAAAACTTCATTTTTCTTGTCCACTTTGATAAATAAAAAACAATTGATATTATTTTTTCCAACTTTTGTCCTTATAATTAAACAAATAATTTTATTTTCTTAGAATCAATTCGAATACTAGTGGTACTTAAGTTTAATTTTTATACTATAAACCTAATTAAGTATTACTTTTTTTCCTAAATGAGTGAAAAATGATTTTTTAAAGCCTAATTTTGATTTTTGAATAGTATAAAAAGGACGTAATTCTTCATTCCCCAAATCTAGGAATTTTGTTCAGAAAAGTTCCGCACTTTGTCTTTGCGGCAGCCTGAGAGTTGTGTGTCACCGGAGTTTTGTGCTTTCAAATTCGGAGCTCCAATTCGGAAGAAATGGGTCGTTCTCGGGCTGTTCATCAATCCACCGATGATGATCCAAGCCAGAGGTCAGTAAAGCTATTCGATGCTTACTCCATTTCATTTACAATTTTTTTTAAAATTTTTTTTAGCCTGATTTTATAGTTTTTGCTTTGTTTTTGATAATTTTCACTGTTTCGAAGTGTTTGGGTTCTGCACATATATATAGTTTTTGTTGTTGTTGTTAATTTAGAGTTGGAGCCATTGATGGGGTTGCTTTAATTAGTCAAAATGACAGTTAAGTTCAGTAATTGATGGGGTTGCTTTAATTAGTCAAAATGATAGTTAAGTTCAGCAGTTGCAGATGGAGGATTTGTAAAGAAAGAGAGGGGGTGTGGGAGCAAGTTTTATGCGAAAAAGGTATAAAAGATTTAGTGTGAATCAGTAAATGAAAGGGAAGCATAATTATTTAGGTTTTTTTTTAATATTTGAAGGGTAAAATTTGAATGTACCCTGGTTCAGGTTTTCGTGCCTGATATTTGAACATGGTACTACTTGGCTGTAGAGTAAAGTTATAGTTTTAGGTAACAACGCCATTATTTATGGTAAGAGTATAAATTGAGCAACCTAAGTGATGCATGCTGACCAAGCGAAAAAACAAAGGAAGAAAGTGAATTTTGTTAGATTATACAGCAAGAGAAGAGTTTATGTCCTGCAACAAGAAAAGAATGCTCCTCGACACATTTCCCAAGACCTTTCTCTCTCCTACTTCCTAGGATTGTTGAACACCTTTTTGAGTGAGTCCGTCGGAATCTATTCATTTTCTCTTGTATCCCCTTAGCTAACACCTTCTGTGCTAGCTTCATAACCACCTTTTCTATCTTCGTGTTTCCTAGACGTCTTTCTCAGACACGGAGGAAGACAATTTATTTTAATGTGGGATTCAAGTCTTTTGACATCACCGAGTGGAACTCAGATGGATCAACATGGTACGAATGGGTCGAGAGGAGTTGGAATATGATGAGACGTGTATCCATGAGCAAGAAAATCATGTACTGGATCTGTCATACCCTCAAAGAGTCTTCTAAAGACGAGGAATATTTTCAGGAGATGGAAAATTAAAGATTCGATCACAGAATATGTCAATACTAGAAAATTTAATGCTCAAGGAAAATATATGAGCATTTTGGCATTAAATGGAGATAGGAGATTGATATTAATTATTCCTTAAGCAACCATTAATGCAGGGTGGCTGGACATTGCATTTAAGATTGGTGAGGTTCACTCAATCAACCTCTCACCTGGATAAAACAGAACCTCCCAGACTCATGAAAGCCAGTTACCCCTATGCCAAAGTAGTCAAAGAGAGTAAGTGGCAAACGGAAAACCTCTGAGAGGCTGATGTTAGCAGCAGAGCAAGGAATATTAGCATTGATGACAACTACGGAACTAAGGATGATGGTTTACTCTGGAAATGTGTAGTTGGCACTTTGACAAGGGGAGTTTTGAAAGACCAACTTTGGCAGCTGTAAGAAGGTGGACTACAACAAATTGGAAGACAATTTCCTGAGTTAGCATCTTCGAGATGCTGGGGAACTCGTTTCTTTTTGAGTTTCCAACAGACATATGGCGAAAAAAGATACTTTAGAAAAACTTGTCCTTGAAGAACTCCAGATTGTACCTGGAATGGTGGAGTTCAGTAGCGGGTTGCAGTCACAACTCTTTCAAACCTTTAGAAACTTGAATTCGAGCCTTGGGGCTTCCCCTTCACATCTGGTCACGAAGAGTCTTTCGTGAAATTGGTGATCTGTGGGGAGGGTGGATAGCCATCGAGGAAGAAACGGAGCTTAAAATCCATTTGAAGTGGGCCTTGATTTTCGTCACCAATGGTTGCTAAAATATTCCCGAAGAGGTGTAATCATAAGAGATGAAGTGGAGTACTATATTCCGATATATGGGTAGGGAGAAAACCTTGCTTTGAGGCAAAGTCAGAGCTCAGGGAACTCGTCAGAGAGGTTGCAGGCATCAAGGACTTTGAACAGGAGTTTCTCATTGGGAGTCAAGAGGGGAAGCACGTGATGTGTCCTTGTGTCACAACTGGAATTTCTCATTGGGAGAAGACACATGACTTCCACATGCAGGGATTTATGATTCAAGGTGATATTATTGAGAATCCAACAAGGATCAAAGAGGAAATTATTGAGTTTTAACAAAATTGTACACTGAAACAAAGAATTAGAGACCTTCCTGTAGTTTTGGTACTTGTCCTGTCATAACTGAAGAGGAGAGGGAGAAGATGCAAGACAAGTTTCATGAACAAGAGGTTCTGAGATGTCTGAAGTTGTGAGCTGCAGACAAAGCTCCAGGGTCAGATGGTTTTACTATGGGATTTCTACTTAAGTATTGGAGAATTTGAAGCATGATATATATGGAAGCTTTTCATGATTTCCACAAAATGGAAATCTTTGAGAGAAGCTTTCATGCAATTTTCATAGCCTTAATTCCAAAGAAGAAAGGTGCCAATGAATTGAGAGATTTCAGGCCTATCCATTTGGTAGGGAGTGTTTATAAGTTGCTTGCAAAGGTACTGCCAGAAAGATTAAAAGGGGTGGTAGCTTAACTTATGGATTCTTAACAAATGACTTTCATTAAGGGAAGACAAATCATGGCTGCTGTCTTGGTGGCCAATGAAGCCGTTCACTCTAGGATTATACTTAAAAAACCCGGAGTCCTTTGCAAACTTGATATTGCAAAGGTATATGATCATGTCAGTTGGAATTTCATGGTGAATATGCTTCAAAGGATGTGTTTTGGTTATAAATGAATTTAATTAGGTCAACATTGCATTTCAATTGTGACTTTTTTTGCCCTCATCAATGGTTCCCCTACTGGATTTGTTGGTGCTCATAGAGGTCTCAGACAAGCTGACCCATTGTCTCCCTTTTTGTTTATTTTGGTTATGGAAGGTCTTAGCAATATGATTAAGACAACAAACACTTGTGGTTGGATAAAAGGCTTTGAGTTGGCACGAATGGCAATAGCAGCCTGGAAATCACTTATCTGCAATATGCGGACAACACCCTAATCTTTTGTGATGCTAATGGAGAGCAATTCAAGTACTTAGGAGTGATTTTGGTGTTATTTGAAGGTATATCTGGGCTTCACATTAATTGGAGGAAAAGCTGTCTATATCCTATCAATGAAGTGCCTGATATGGCTCAACTATCCACAATCCTAGGTGGTGATGTTGGTTCTTTGCCTACTATATATTTGGGAATGCCATTGGGAGCAAAATCAAAGTCAATGGTGATCTGGAACAGTGTTATAGAAAAATGTGAAAAAGAAGCTGAATAGATGGAAGTCACATTACATGTCTTTGAAGTTACCCTTATCTCAAAAAAAAATCACATTACATGTCTTTGGATGGTAGACTCACTCTTATTAACTTAGTGTTAAATGCACTTCCAACATACATGATGCCATTGTTCCCAATATTAATAGGGTTTATCAAATATCAACTAACTTGATAAAATCAGGTCATTTTTTGTGGCAAGGAAACAATAAAAAGAGAGGTTTTCACTTGGTCAAGTGGTACCTTAATCACTAGCAAAAAACACGGAGGATTGGGTATTAGAAATCTGAAATTTCAGAAGAAAGCTCATAAAATGAAGTGGCTATGGAGATTAACTGAAGAAAATCAACATCTATGGGGAAGAGTCAGTAATGCAAAGTATGGGAGGAAGATAAATGGAGGACCAAATAAGTAAACACACCTTATAGAGTTAGCATGTGGGGATCCATACGGGCTCTATTTCCTGAATTGAAGAGCTATACATCCATCAGAGTGTATGATGGAAACAGAACTGCCTTCTGGAGTGACAACTGGTGTGGGAGTGGTAGTTTGCTGGAGAATTTTCCTGATATATTTGGCTTAGTACTTCATCAACACAAGACTATTGCAGAACTTAAAACAGACCAATGATGGGATCTTATCTTTGGAAGATTGTTCAATTATTGGGAGATTCAGAAGGTAACAGAGTTTTACCAGGTCACCAGCATCTCCTTAATGCTGAAGAATACATCATTACCATTTTCAAAAAACAAAAAAAAACAAAAAAAAAAAACAGAGTTTTACCAGGCATAGAAATTCTTCAGTGGCCTACAAGGGGGTCTGATAGATTAAGGTGGTTGGGACATGGCTGTGGCTCTTTTAGGGTGGGTAGTGCTTTCAAGTTACTAAATCAGACCAACAAGCAGGTTATGAACTGGTCATGGAAGCACATTTGGAAGATTTAAATTACATATAAAGTTTCTTGTTTTTCTTGGCTTCTGGCTATAGAGACTGTTCTTACTCAGGAGAATCTGACAAAAAGAAAGTCCACCTTATGCTCAAGATGTTTTCTCTGTGGTGAGATAGCAGAGACAGTTAATCATCTGTTTCAACATTGCAAAATCACTGAACGACTATGGACAATATTCATCAGCCTTAGAGGAATATCTTGGATAATGCCTGGAAGGATTATTGATGTTCTACATAGTTAGGAGGAAGGAGGTTCTCAGGCAATAGACACGGATAGATGGAGAATTGTTCGAACAAGCATTTTGTGGACAATTTGGTAAGAAAGAAATTCCAGATGTTTTGATAATGTGGAAAACTCTTTGCAGAAGATAAAGTTGAATTGTCTTTTGCTTATTTGTTTTTGGGGTAAACAGTCCTACTCAGAAGATTCTGTTGATATAATTGATGTTCTGAGTAGCATTTAGGATGACTATTTTTGTATACCTGAAGCACTTTCGTAAATATGATTTCAGGATGATCTATGTATTGTTTTGTCTATTATACACACAAGTCACCCTTTCTAAAGAAGAAGAAGAAGAGAAGAGTTGGAGATACAAAGGAAAATGAGCGAAGATTCAAGAGTCCTAATTTGAATATGCGTAATTATGATAGAGCATTGTTGAATATTAGTAATATTTAGCAGTGTTATCAAAGGCGAAAAGCGCAAAAAAGCTCTAAGGTCTGTGGGGGCTTTAAGTGTAAAGCGCAAATAAAGCGTGGGCTTTAATGAAAAAAGGCACAAAGGGAGAAAAGAATACAAATATATATGTTTAATTCAAGGCTAATAATTATAAACATGAATGACAAATATATGACCAAAGAAATTGAATTTTTTTAATGATAAAGTGAAATATCAATTATTTGGTTTCACTTCTTCATAAAAGGCTCATTGCCATAGAAATGTTTGCCTTAGAACCTTGATGACGACACTAAAGCGCACATAAAGCGAGGCAAAGCGCTCAACATGTTTTGAGCCTCGCTTCAAGGCTTAAACGCGCCTTTGATAACAATGATATTTAGGGGTGTCAAATGGGCAAGTTGAGTTGAACTTAGGCGGATTAAAGTGAGATGAGTTAATAAATGAGCAGGTCATCGTTACTTGGGCTAAAATGAGTTGGGCTAAAACACAATTCATAACCCGAACTCACCCAGTTCTTACTAAGTTTTAATTTCTTTGTCTATTCTTTTGTATTTCTTTAAGTTTCTAATTAATCTTTTGTCTTTATTATGGGTGTATATTACATATCAAATGAAAATATTTTGACAAAGTTTCTCATGGGTCAATTTGGGTTGAAATGTGTTGGGCTAAAATGGGCTAAGCTAATAAATGGAGAAGTCAATGACCCACCCTAACTTTGGTAGGTTAGGGTTTCATGTGATAATTTTGCCATCGTAGTAATATTAGATACTGAATATATTTGGAGAAAAGAGATGTTGAGTTGCAAGTTTTGATATGGAATACAGAGGAAGGCGATCTAAAAAAAAAAGAAGAGAATATGGAGGAAAAAGGTGATTTTTTTTCCTTAATCTTTGTAATGTGAGAAGTATCTTACTAAAACTACATAGGATGTTTCAACTCAACAGAAGAATCAAGTATAAATTTCTTTATCTCTAGAAGAATTGAATAGAAAGCTCCTTGATCGATAATGTAATTTCTATGAGGTATTTTTGGATTTCCTTCCATTTTGGTTGTTTTTTTGAACTAAAAGTGTATATTAACTGCTATTGGAAGTGCGTGTTCTTGAGAGGATAGTCTCGTGATTTGCTTGCCAATGCGATCCTAGTCGTTAAAACAGAGGAATTTAATGAGATAGACATGTCATTCTCAACTTGAATTAGTGTTATTGACATCTCATGGTTTTATGTTTAAAAAGTTGACCAAACTATATTTTCAGTGAATTTCCTTTTTATTTTTTTATTTTTTTTTACTTTCTGTTTTCTTTTTCTTCTCCTGCAGCCCTGCTTTAGTTAACGCCTTCTTTAGGGCTTTATTTAAGTGCAGCAGTGGTGAAGCCAATGCCTCGCCTCTGTTTCCAAATGGCATACTTAAAGCTGTTACTCAGAGATTGTTCCTTATCTTTTTTTTGAAGGTTTTTATTTTTATTTTTGAGAAGGATAGATCCTTGGGTGCAATATCCATACCTGATATATAATGCAAGAAATACAAACTTTGTCTATGAAGTTGAGAAAATCAATGTTCAAAGTTCGTATTTCATAGACAAAAGTATTTCCTTACCTTTTGATCTTGAACACTGATTTTCATGATGTCATAGACAAAGTTTGTATTTCTTGCATTATATATCATGTATGGATATTCCTTATCAAAAAAATATCATGTATGGATATTGCACCTAAGGGTGTGGCCGAGTGTTCAATGAAGTGGGTTGAAAACCATGAGGACTGAGGTTTAAATCTCAATGGAGTAAAAACAAACATTAGGTGCTTTATTTCATCTGTCCAAGCATTGGTGGACAGAGTTACCCGGGACTTGTGCTAGTTGAGGTAGCGTAACCAGTGGAATAAGTCGAGGTGTGCGCCAGCTGCCCAGACACCATGGTTATAAAAAAAATGAAGTCTTGTATGGATATGTGTCTATGTAAACATAGTTCCATACTTATCAGTTATCATTGATTCATGTGGAACTGTATCTGATTTGATTCCATTATTTATTGGCCTGATCTGGTAACTTATATTTTCCTTGTCCCTTTAATTCTTTGGTAGGTCTAAGAGAAAAAGGGCAGCACCAAATGTGGAGAGTTTTGATACTGCAGCTACTGGTATGATCTTTTAGATTATACATTTGGTAATTAGCACCCTTGGGAATGAAAATCATTTACAAGAAGCAGGATCCCTGCAGTGCTATTTTCTCTCGAGATCTCCCATCAGTTTAAACAGACTTCTATTTGGCTTGTAAACGTGGACAAATTTGAACTATTAACTCCATCTGTCTAAAAAAGAAACCCTTTTTTCTATTCTCAAGGGAAGTTCTGCTACATCTTGTACGACACAAACTTTTCATTCATGTGCGTTCCCCGTTTTCTCTTTCCAATACAACTTTTCACTTTATTTTTCTCTCAAAGAAGCTCAAGATTCAATATAAGACCAAACATGTTTCTCCTATAAACATTAACTATTTCAATTTTAACTGTTTATCATAAATAAAGAAGACTATTTAAACTTAACTCCTCTCATATCATGGTACATAGTCAGATTTCACACGAAGCGGAAGTACATAATTCTTTATTCATCACAGCTTGTGACCATGTTTGTGCCTTGTGGAACAAAAATCTGTTTTTACCTTCTATTTCTTGTTTCATATTTTTTATTTTAATCTTGTTCATGGTGGAACAGAAAAAAGAGTAATTCATGAGTCTCATTGTATGTGTGCTCCTACTGCATTGTAACTACTCCAACTTTTGGAACTTTGTTATTTATGCCTGGTGTTCTACTCAGATGCTAATTACAAAATTTTTTCTGTTTTAAATTGAACCTTATAATTTGTCTTGTTTCTGTTTATAAAGGCCAAATATTGACTGAAGGGAAAAAGGCTTTGTACCATTGCAATTATTGCAATAAAGACATATCTGGAAGGATTCGGATTAAATGTGTTGTGTGCTCTGACTTTGATCTTTGTGTGGAATGCTTTTCTGTTGGAGCAGAAGTTCAGCCTCACAAAAGCAATCATCTGTATAGGGTTATGGTTAGTGACTTCATCTTATTGAATTTTCATCAAAATGTTGGACTACTTTAGTTAAGTACTTCTCTTGAATTGTTTTATTCGTATCTACATTTAACAGAACATAAATAGTTTAAGCCGGTGAAAATGCTTGAAGCAGTCTTAAATTGCAGCCTTAATTCTCAGTAGGTTTTGTTAATTCCTACGCTCTTCATTGATGTCACATTAATGAAGCAGATATCATCATTTTGTGTATCCTGATTGGTTTATGCAAAACTTGGGAAAATATTATAGAGATTGTTGAAGCTGCTGAGTACGTAACATCTTAAAGACCATTTAATTTATTTTTTAGAAGGATTGTGCCAGGTGAACTCTATACCTGATTTTGTATATGAGAGTTGACCACTCAGCTAATATGAAAGGGTTGTGCAATCTTCATAGCTGCTTGATGGTCAGGCAGAGTCATAAGAACTATATCTATGGTCATCCGCTCGTACAAGATGTATTTTTATCTAATAATCCTGTTCATCAAAGCGGGCTGCTATCTGTTGACATATTATCATAATTTCACTAACTTTTGGATATAATCCTTTACCTATACTCCCTCCGTTCCTTTTTAGTTGTCATGATAGGGTTTTGCACAACCCTTAAGAAAAAATTAATTAGTAGTGTAGTTTGACCCCTTATTAATTCTTTAATCTTTATCTATTTACGTGCCTCTTAATTCTAGAATAATTTATGCTAAGGGCAAAGTTGAAACAAAGAATTAGTTCTCTCTCATCTTCATCAAGAATAATTAATTCTCTTCTGATTGTTAATTTGACAACTATTTTGGAACAAGTATTTTTAATATACATGACAATTAAAAAGGAACAAAGGGAGTAGTTTGTTTGGTCAAACTTCTAAAATTAGCTTATTTTGAAAATTGTTTGTTTCAGAATTGCTTTAAAAAAAGTACTTTTGTGAGAAGGTGTGTGTGTTAGGTCAATCAATTTGAGAAACACTCATAAGTATTTAGTGTTTGACCAAACTTTTAAAAAGGTTTCTAAATGTATTTTCTCAAAAGTGTTTTTTAAAAAAAGTACTTTTGGAGGGAAACCTTTTTTCAGCTTCTCAAAAACAGCTATTGCTCCTACTCAAAATCACTTTTTATTCCTCTAAAAGCTTGGCCAAACAACCCAACTTTGAAAAAAACATTTTTTTAGAAAGCACTTTTTTCTTGGAGAATCTTGGCCAAACAGTCTACTAGTTACCTATAGTGGAGCTAAATTGGATTCATAATGAGACGCAGAGGTGGATCTAGAATTTCTAGAACATGGGCTTACCACTAATAAAAGGAGAAAAAAGAATGTATTAAGTGGGAGTTGATCCATTTTCCTTAAAATAAATAACTTAGCATTCAACCAAGTCACCATCCGACCCTTTTAGAGCATGGGTGCTATCAAACAATATTAGATCAATTTTAGGAAATATGTACATAGGATACCTAATTTGAGGAGAGACCATGGGTTCACATGAACCACTATTTCTAATGTAAAAATCCACCCCTGATGAGATGGAAGATAATAGATAGAAATATGCTCATGAAAAAAGGTTGTTCTAATTGCAACGATGAGATGCTTATGTGCGGGAGATGATTTTCACACGATTCAAGTAAGATGGACACTCATGTTGGTATTTGATACTATATCTAGAGAGGTAGAATTGAAATTCACGCTTTTTATGTGGATGCTAAGTAATAGAGAATGGGATGTTTACTTTGTTGGACTTGTCAAATCTAAAATTGGGGACAAGGTTTTTATGAAGCTGTTACTCATGAGTGAACTATTATTATGATTAATTACAAATGATGAGATTAGTAGGTGGTCGTATGTACAGTGGATATTCACTTCCCATCTTAGCTGATCAATGATCTAATGAAGCATTTTTCTCACATGTTTACATTTGAAGGAGGAGTTCTGGCTCTTTTATGCTGTTTACTTTGTTTAGTTATGTTCTCACCCTTTTTGTAATCTCTTACTTTTTATGGATATATGTGTGGGATATGTCTTCAAGGTTTTCTTCTATGAACAGGATAACCTGTCATTTCCTCTCATATGTGCTGACTGGAATGCTGATGAGGAAATGTTACTTCTAGAGGTAGTCTTCCATTTTTCTGCTTGTGCTTAAATATTTCAATCATCAGTTATTTCTCTACTCTATAGTTTTTTTACAAGTTCTCTTAAATATATCCTAGTGATCTAGATCTTATTCAGAATTCTGGGAGGATTAGAGTTCTCTTAGTTTTAGTTTATCGCCTGTCCTCTTTTTCTTTTGCAGGGTTTGGAAATGTACGGATTGGCAAACTGGGCTGAAGTTGCCGAACATGTTGGAACAAAGAGTAAATTGCAGTGTATTGACCACTATAAGTCCACATATATTAGTTCTCCTTGTTTTCCACTTCCGGTGAGTAACCCGCCTAACACAGTGCAGCATTACATCAAGTGCTTCATTATGAAAAGCTGAATCTGCACACTATATTTCTGTAGGACATGTCTCATGTTATGGGAAAGAACAGAGAGGAACTTCTTGCCATGGCCAAGGATCAAGGTGACTGAAGAGCGTTTCTTTATCGTATTCATTTTTTTTTTTAACCTCTTAAGCTTCTGATTTTGGATGGTTTTGCCTCAGTTTTCTGCTTCATACACTTTCTTGATTCAATCCATCAGTTTTTACTGTGTTCACTGCATAACACAATCAAGCTATATTTTCCCCCTACCTCATGTGGGACAGGCCAACATTTACTCCAATTGGTTGGTTTTGCTATTAATCAAGAAATTGATCTGTATTGGGTTAAAAACAGAACTTTGGCATGTCTTTCTGGGACCCCTACATTTCCCTTTTCATTGGATCAATAAAAAATTTGTAGCAGACCAAAATCATTTGTACCCCACACTCTTCAGAAGGCATCAAAAGAGTGACAAAAAACTGCAACAGCCAGAAATGTCTAGTTTTCTCTATCTTTCATAGTCCTGTCTGCTCATGCTTGGTTGGTAGTTAACAGATATCATCATATCTTGATAATTGAGTAGTACTGGTGTCGGAAGAAGTACAAGCATATCCACCATGTTGAAGTGTGTGAGTATCACATCTAAAAGATTAAGCTATTAGAGAGAGCACACTTTTATTTCATTAACTATGTATTCAACAATGCCCCCACGTGTAGGCATGAAGCCTGATTCTTTTTCATAGGCCAAGCATGTGGAAATTCTTTTCAATAATGGGTGGCAGTGAGACTCGAATTCAGGATCTCTGCCTTCATTGATGATTTAACCATGTTGAAGTGGTGTGATCATCTCATCTAAAGCTATTAGAGAGAACACACTCTTATTTAATTAACAATGTAATCAACATCCATTCTCAGAATCACATCATCTCTTAGTCTAATTGAATGTTCATTCTTGTTAGGATATGCAGCTCCCGGGGGAGTTAATGTTAAAGAAGAGTCTCCATTCTCTGCAGGAATCAAGTATGCTCGGGTTTGTTCCAAATAAATGCAAGTGTCATAGCCTTCTCTATTCTCATACGTTTGGACATGTATTTTCAGGATGGAAGATCAAAGGGAAGAAAATTCAACTGGACTTGCGTCAGGTAGTTTAGCTTCTGGCACAAATTGATACCCTTATAATTGACATAGAAATTCTTTTTTCATAATGGGTGGCAGAGAATCAAACCCAACACCTTTGTTGCTTGATACTATTTTGCAGTGTATGATCATCTCATCTTAAAGTTTAAGCTATTAGAGAGAGCACTATTTTTTAAACTTAATTATATCTTCAACAATTCCGTTCTAAGCTCATACTAAAAAGAGACAACAAAATAGAACAAAATTTCCCCCAGTGTCCCTGCAAAGGCAATACATATGTATGTGTGTGTGTGGATTCAGAGAGGGAGAGAGATAGAGATGACAATAGAATTGAAGGCAATTATAGTGGTAACTGTGGGAAAAATTATTATATTCTTCGGTTTGTGTTGGCATATGTTCACTTGTTTTCTCTATCATGTTTGATTTGGTTTCAGTTGGAGGCTCTGCTTCTGGTACATTAGCAGGAGCTGGAAAGAGGACATCTAGCTTACTTCATAGTAAGGAGAATCATGATAGCATCAAAGTGGAAGGTATCAGTTGCTCTAACATTATATCACAGAAAATTGTGATACTTACTGTTTGACCATTGCTTTATCTTCACTTTAGGATTCAGATATCCATGTACTAATCTTAAAGTATTCTTGTCTGGTGATGCTATTTATATATATTTTGAAAAATGAATATGGCAAAGAAATTCTTGCAAGTATACGCTTATTCCACATTTCTACTCGATTGTGAGCAGGAGATACCATGCCATTTCTGTAGTTTGTAGTTTGATAACAGTAATGCTGATAATTCACAACTATCTATACTTAAAGAAATAGGTGATGAAGTTTTTAACTTTTTATTGATACTTTCTTTAGAGTATGCATGGTAACTTTTTGATTGAGAGAAATGCTAAGAGTCTTTTGTTATTGCATTTAGGTTGTCCTGCAGACAGGAGTGTCGGAGAGAAAAAGCCTAGGTCATCAGTGGATGAGGGGCCTTCTATGACAGAATTAAGTGGTTATAATTCCAAGAGAGAGGAGTTTGAAATTGAATACGATAATGATGCTGAGCAGATGGTGGCTGATATGGAATTTAAAGAGACAGATAGCAATGCTGAACGTGAACTGAAACTTCGGGTATTGCGTATATACAATAAAAGGTAAGTAATCCTCACCGAACTGTGATGTTGGTACTTATTTCCTCTTTCCCCAACATATGCAAAAAAAAAGAATGTTAAGTACTATTTCTGTCAGTTACTCTTTTACCTTCTTCCCCCCTCTTCCAAGTGCGAGAATCTTTGCAGAAGAGAGCTATGATTCTGCAAGTGTTGATTTTCTTGCCACATTTGAAAATGTCAATTGACTTCTTGACTTTAAGATGGTTTTATTGAATGCAACATTCAACTGATGTATGCTGGTAGAATCACCTATTTATAGTTTTCTCGGGGATCTTGTGGATGAATAATGAACTTTATCCTGCCTTGAGCCACCTAGCAATTTGTAAAATTTTAAACTGTTCCTTTTTATAATGCATTTCTCAGATAGATGCTATTCAATGCAAGTTTCTCTTGCCTGTATCCATTTTTCAGTTGACTTCAGATTGAAGGTAGTTCAATACCATATTGACATCCCACTGGGCTGTTGTCTTCAAATAAATGTGGTTGATAATCTTCCCATGATTGTAAAGGGAAGTAATCCCAGTTAGGTGCTTCTGGTACATCATGTTGTCGATATGGATTTTTGAACTATGTATTCATGAGAAAATGTAGCTATTGAAAGACAATTATGTAGTAGAGGTCAGCAATTGTCTATGTTAGTTGCTCTGATGCACTAATGGTTCATGATACTCTTAATTTATTTTTGTTTGTGCGAATCTTCAATCTGTTAATATTCTGCAGGCTTGATGAGAGGAAACGTAGGAAGGATTTTATTTTGGAAAGAAAACTACTTCATCCTGATCCTTTTGAGAAAGACCTCACCCCGGAGGAGAAGGACATATGCCGTCGTTATAGGGTGTTCATGCGTTTTAGTTCAAAAGAGGAGCATGAGGATTTCCTTAGGAGCATAATCGAGGAGCACCGGATAGTTAAACGAATACGAGATCTTCAGGTTAAGTGCAAAGTCTTTCTACTAGAGTACCTCCAGAATGATAATCCTATTTTCTAGGCTCTTTGGAATCCTTTCTGAATGATTATAATCCTTATACAAAGATTGGAACATTATCAGCTTATAATCATGTTTTGTTACACACAAAACATTAGGTGTGTAAAACACAAACTCAATGATATGAAAAGAATTTAAAGTTCATCTTTTTTTTAAAAAAAATTCTAACAGTAGAACTTATAATTAAAGGTTTCTGTACTGGGTAAGCATTTCGTATAAAAAATTTATAATGTATTTTCTCCTATTCTGTTACTACCATGTGTAAGTCTACAAGAATGCTAACTAGTTTCCTTAACCATAGGTAGTGATCCATTTTCTTTTGTTTTTATAACGGTTTTGTTCATACCAACTTGGACACACCTCAACTTTTATTCATCAAGTACCTGGCTACCTGCTTCTCTCACCAGCATAACTATTAGCAACTTTGGCCACCAAATTTTTGGCAGATGGAAGAAGCATCTAGTATATTTTGTGTATGCTGGTATTTGAACCCTGGTCTCCTATGGTTTTCATCCCACTTAGTAGGCAATTTGGTCACACCCAATGGGTGCTGTAGGTTGTGGTTGTTGCATGGGATACATTTCAGATACTATAATCAAATAAAATTTGGCAAAAAGACCAATAGATTGGATCAAGCACGTACCTCTGGCATATGTGACAAATTTAAACTCTGCAGTCTTGTCTATTAAGTTTTCAAGTTAGTGTTATTGAAATATTCAGTCCCTGCACCCAGGATGCCCGAATTGCTGGTTGCCGAACTTTAGCTGAGGCAGAAAGATATGTTGAACAAAAGAGAATGCGGGAATCTGAAGAAAATGTACGTAGACTAAAGGAGAACTCCCAGAGTGGCCCAAGTGGCAAATATTTGCAAAGAGCAGGTCACTTTAAAGTGGAGCATGACAGCAGCCCTAGAGGAGTTGGTAGAGGCCCTGAAATGATGGATTGTTGCAATGACTTATCATCAACCACCGCACCACATGGTGTTGGAAGTGCTGTAGACATTTGGGATGTCAGTGGCTTTTCAGGGGCTGAGTTGCTCTCAGAAGCTGTAAGAATCTTCTTTTTCTTCTGCGACATATTGTTACTATTTGACTATTTCCACAATTTTCTTTGCGAGCATTAACCATGCGACTGGTATTATCTGACTTTGTACATATATCAAAATGGGTATTGATGTAGCAATTCTAATAGTATTGATGCCCCTGAAAAGTGAATTTTTTTTTGAACTTTTAGTTATTAGTGTATGGCTGTATCCTTTTAATCCTAACCTGCATTTGTGGCTATTGCAAATGCAGGAAAAAAAGCTTTGTGATGAGATGAGAATCCTGCCGGCTCATTATCTAAACATGTCTCAAACCATGTCCATGGGGATCTTTAATGGCAACATCACCAAGAAATCTGATGCGCATGGTCTATTCAATGTTGATCCGAATAAGGTGGACAAAGTGTATGAGATGCTTGTTAAAAAGGGCCTGGCTCAAGCATAATGTTGCTACTTTACAGGTTCAACCATGATTTTACTAATTTTCTACCAAAATTGGCAATGATGTAAAAAGGCTAGCCTGTTTTCTTAGATTCTTTCAAAACTATCTAAACCGTTACGTTAGATGAAGGTTGCTCAAGGCATGGCTGTTCAAAAAGTTATCACATACGTGTAACGCGAGGAAAAGTCATGCAGTGGATATCCTTTATAATGATACCGATTGTAGATGTGAGGTTCGTAACACAAGCTTTTCATAGTGTTCCAGTACCATTGCAATTATAATGGCGTGGTGAGTTATCTGTTCGAAAGGAAGCAGTGTAATGTAGACTTATGCTGTTGTCTGAGGCTTGTGTATACATGAGGTTTATACATCCAATTAGATTGTGAATAGTTTGCTGGTTCGCAGCTAGTTTTGAAAAGTGTTTCATTTGCAATTCTTTTTCCTCAAAACAGGGAAGTTGGATTGAGTATCCATTTTATGTTGTTGGATTGAGCATCTATTTTATGTTGGATTATAATATTTATGTTGTTGGATTATATTATTTTATCTTGATGGATTGAGTATCTATTTTTATGTTGTTGGATAATTTTATTTTATGTTGATTATCTATTTTAAGTTGTGTTCGTTGCATAGGCATAACAATTATTCCATCCACATTAATCTTGGAGATCTGTCAAACTTTCTACATTTTGTATTTCTAGACTTTATTTAACCACAAAAGAATCATACTCCCTTCGAGTACTGTTATTATCTAGTGTTTTCATATATATATATATATAGGAAAGCACGAGTTCAATATATGTTATTTTTTATCTCAATTTGTGGGACAAATAGAATTTGGAGAGTCAACTAAATTTTAATATGATTTTTTAGTTATTTTAAGTTAATTGTTGTGATTAATAATACTCTTTATGTAGTTTTTAAATAATGTATGCTATTCTCTCTATTCCAATTTATATGACATTGTAAATTTTGAGAGTCTACCAGTTTTTTTTAAAGTTGTTAATTATTGTGATTTTGTAGTACTTTTTACACAATTTTTAAATTATATAGTATGTTACTTCATCTTTTCTAATTTATGTGGTACTAATAAAACTTCAAGAATTAGTAATCAAACTTTTCATTAGTCTTTTTATGTAATTTTTAAATAATATTGTATTAGTCCCTTTATCCCGATTTAAATGGTACAAATATAGTTTCGAGAGCACCAAATTTTTGTGTTTTTTTTTTAAAAAAAAAAGGTTTTAGGTTGTTAGTTCTTGGGAACCGATAAAATTTCAATAGCCAATTAATTTTTTAATATATAAAACACTGAGAAAATAAAATAAACCAATTAAATATGAGGTAATGAAAGAACCAACTTTCAGATGGGTAATCAAGTTGAATTTCAACATATTATGGACGAAACATTACGAAGGATATATTGAATTGGAGCATTTATTCCCCCGTTGTCTCATTTACGTGATTATGTTTGATTGAATATGACGATTAATAAAAGAAATATTCTTAAAATTTATAGTTTGAAGTATGTCATGACACTGTATTGTAGAGAATTGCAGAATAAATGTATAATTGGAGAGCCCTTCTGCTAGCCCAAGATCGTTAACTACGACCGTAAGATTCAACTAAAAAAAAGAAAGCTAGAAAGGAGAAGGAATATTTTGAATAAGAGAACTTTGATATGGAAAAAGACTCTTTGATTTGGGTTGTATTACAAATGACTAAGGTCATCCTATTTATACTTGCGTGGGATGGTTCTAGATATTACAACATCTAGAGTATTCTGTCATTTACTACAAGTATCTAACTCTCTAAAATATCTACACATTTCTTAGAACAACTACAAGAAAATTCTAGTAACTTATCTTCTACCCTAAAATATGTAGATATTTCTTTAAGATAATTATTCTAAATACTACCAACCAATCTACTCTCTTGGTCTCCCCTGTAACTTGAGAAGTCTCCAGAGAAGGCATGAGGGTTTTCTAAAAGTCTCCTCTCATTACTTATGGATAAAGCTCTTAAGCTTAAGCTTTTACGAACTGAAAGATCTTACATATTGCAAAGATACGTCTCATACCACCTCCCTCTATCACCTGAGCTAACCTTCCCGTTACTAACGGAACACCCTTGTAAGCCCCCAAAAGAGAACTAATGTAGGGGCCTACAAACTTTTTCAAAAATCATATATAAAACATTTCCAAATTTGGATCAAAAGATTTAACAAATGAGGAATAATGAGTTTATAACTATAGTAATTGAACAACTTGCAATGCAACCATGGTGCAATCTCGATCTCCGAGCCCTTAACATAAATTTGGGACTCGCGGAATATCATTATTCGAATTTATTAACTCGATTTTTTTCTACATTGATGTTGTTCATAAGTTGGGTAATCTAAGTTAATATGGACCATCTTCAATATCACTACGCCTACAAAATTAGTAGTATTCACAATATTCAAAAGTCATACACAATTATAAGACCCTAGACATAAGATTAATAAAATATTGATGGAGTATATTTTTTTTTTTTTGAAGCAATGCGATTATTAATTTATAAAAATCAAAAGAGGAAAAGAAAATAGAAATTCCATATAAAAGTTAGTATTTCTAAACCTTCCCGCCAACAACCTGATTATAGAGACAAAACTACCCCGTCTTATTCCCAATACTCAGCTTATAACTGAATGGTAAAATAGTCAAATCTGAAAAGAAAATAACGGTTTGTAACGAACTTTAGCAAAATCACTTGTCTGTATAAAACAGAGCTCATTTTCGTTCTCTCTGCAAAAGAAAAAAAAAAGAAGAAGATGAATTTCTCAGAGATGAAAGATCAGGCAATTAATGGCGTGAAATGGTACTTCAATAGGAATTGGAATAGAGACGACGTGATGAATATGGATGAAATTTCCGACGAACTTCACTCAACCTTGGAGATGGTACATACATTCATCCTAGCACTTCCAATTTTTCTTTCCTTCTAAATCCCCAATTCTTCTCAGAAGATTTTTAGGTGTTACTGATAATGAATTTCAGTTTCTTACAGTTCAGAAGATTGATTTGTTTTTGCTAAAAATATAGGTGTATCTTAGTCTCTTCTGTGCCATGTTGAGCATTACTTGTGGATCCACTTTGCAATGGATCTCAATAACTGCGGGGAAATACTCAGTCCTTTATTTTGTAGCAAAATTAATCTTGCTTTACCTTACTCCACCAGAGAGAGTAGTACGTACGTGATCAATGACTCGTAAATTTTGTTGAATTATTCTTGAAGTTGATTCTTATAATGTAAATCTTCTGTCTTATGCAGAAAATGAGGATCATAATCTCGATGTTGGCTGAATATTCATTCGGTTCTACTGTTGGCTTCATTTTCAATTATCTCTTCAAAATTGAGAATCGGTAAGACTCAAAAGATACTAAATATTGTTTAGATATCCGTTGATCGAGTTTTTCGAATATGAAAATGACAATTGGTTGTTCTCCAGCTTTGTTTTCAGACTTTTGGTAGGTATAACAATTGGCACTGGAAATTTGTGGCATCAATCCATCAAAACAAAGGATAGGAGGGAAATCTACACCGGTTGCCTGAAATATTGCATTGTTATAGTATTCTCGATGATTGCTTTCTTTCTTTTGGAAGCAGATACAACTCTCCGGATGATAGCGGTAATTAAGCAGTTGTATGCATACAATGTAGTAATTAAGCAGTTGTATGCATACAATGTAGTCATTTTGAACTCGCTGACTCTAGTTTGAATGAATAATATGACTGATTTGTTGAATACTGTTTGTTGTAGATACACTCTGTGCTGATATTGTTCATGGGGTACCTTGTGATATATAGCCAAGAAATACTGTATGATGCTAACTTTGGAGATATTGACTTCGTCAACTGCACATTCACCGTCTTCTTCCATTTTCCGGGCATAATGATCCATGCTACAAGACTATACCTGCAGGGTGAGCAACAAGAACAGAATTAAAGCTGATGCAGCTAGGAAGTATAGAGAGTAAAATGTGCAGCTTACTGTAAATGAGGAACAAATATTCCTTTGTGTCTACATTTTACTGATTGAAGCAAAGTTTTTTGAATATTTCTTGGCAAATGAAATACTGATTGTTGAGTGCAAAATCTTGAATAGAATGAAAATACACATAATTGTTTTTTTTTTTCAAGATAGTGCAATAAAGAATTTCACAAATGCTTAATAGCTATTTAGGGTGTAATTTCACAAATGGTCGCTCAACAATTTGTTGGACGTTTGTTTGCTCCAAAGCATTTCCCATTGTATTTAAGCAAACTAAGTGGACGTTTGGTCATGAAAATTCATTTTATTTAAAATTTATAATGTTGATTTGTGTTTGATCATACTTTTTGCAAAGAATATTTAGTATTTGAATAACACTAAATAACAGTGTTTAATATGCACCTATCATCGATCCAAGGAAAAAAGGAATAACAGTTTTTGGGGATTCATAGTCTCAAACCCCAGTTGACGACCAACGATGACAACACAGACACGTATAAAAGTTTCAAGTAAAGATATTTGTACTAATTGAAGGATGTGCTTAATTAAAACGAAGTTATGGCACACATATTATGTGAGTTATTTCACAATATTTGTTATAGCGACTGGAGGTGTCAAAGAACCTGAGGGCATCAAAAGCCCAGATTCTTAAATAAGTATTGATAGGAGCCTAAATCAACAGTTTCATATTTGGAAAATAAATAGAAGCAATGCAATTAATTTATGAAAAATCAAAACAAAATAGAAATTCCCTACTAAAATTTCCCGCCAACAATCTAAGGCTGGAGACGAAACTACCCCGTCTTATTCCCAAGACTGAGGGGTAAAACAATAAATATCCTTCGGCAGTCATTGTAACGAACTCAGCAACCACTTTTTTTCTCTGTATAGCAGAGTTCACAGTTTCTCTGAAAGAAGAAGAAGAAGAAAAAGATGAATTTCACAGAGATGAATCTTCGGGACGTCAATAGGAACCGGAACAGAGATGACATGATGAATTCCGATGAAATTCCTCATCAAGTGCAGGTATTATTCATCAGAAATTGTTGTAATTTCATGAAATTATTATGAGATTTTTCTTTACTGAAATACGTAACAGCCGATCAGAAGATTTTAAGGTATTGTCGAGTTTCTTCTTCTTGGTACAGTTTCAGTAAGAAATAAGGCAACATTCTACTTTTCAGGATTGATGAATTTCGATTCTCACAAGTTTTTGATGTTTGCCCATTTTTCGCTTTTCTTTTGCACTTGCTTATGCCGTTTGATAAAATTATTGGAGTTTCAAAGCCACTGGAGTAGTTCTTGAGTGACTTATATGAGAGTATTTGACGAATGAGAAATTAAGATAATAATTTCACTTATCTTGATTTATCAAAGTTATAGTAGTTAAAATTTTGAACTGGAAAACATGCATTTTTGCTTGGATTCCCCCTTTTCCTGTGATTGATTAGTTTTTTGCTCAAAATATAGGTGGATCTTACTGTCTGCTGTGCCATATTGAGCTCTACTTATGGATCCTTCATGCAATATATCTCGGTAGCCGGGGGAAAACTCACAGTCCTTTCTTATGTAGCAAGTTTATTGTGGATTTACTTTACTCCACCAGGGAGAATGGTATGTATTTGTTGAATTATTCTTGACGTAGTCTTCTGTCTAACTTATAACATAAATCTTCTATCTTATGCAGAACATGAGGTTCTTACTCACCATGTTGGTTGCTTATTCATTTGGTGCTTCTATTAGCACTTCTACCATTTATCTCTTCAAAATCAACCAAGAGTAAGACTCAAAACATTGCTTAGATATCTGGAAATCTTAATTCTGTAGTAAGGACTTGTGAGATTTAGCTGCCTGAATGTGTTCTTCTCTTTCACAAGATAATGACATTGGAGTGGATCGATGAATTTGACATAAAACATTGCGTTTTGTATCAATCTTGCGCAGTTTTCTAAAAGTGACTACTAGAATATATAAAACTTGTGCATTCTTGGCTAATATATATGTTGTAGCACATTTGCTACTCCTCTGCTCCTTCTATATGTGTAGTTGATTAGTCCTTGTTGTTTTCTGTTCCTTATTTGAAAGAATACTCTGATAATCTTAACATTCCATGCTTGTTCTCCAGCTATGTTCTCAGACTTTGGGCTGCTATAACAGTTAGCACTGGAAATTTCTTGCATAGAGCCATCAAAGCAGCGGAAAGGAGTGAAATCAACTTCGGTTTCCTGAAATATTGTTATATTGTAATGATCTCCGGAACTGTTCTCATTCACTTGGACATAGATACAACCTTCTGGTTCATAACGGTAAGCAGTTGTATGCATACGATGTAGTCATTTTGAACTGGCTGACCTCTAGTTTGAATGAATAATATAACTGACTTGTTGAATTACTGCTTGTGATAGATAATTGCTCTGCAGATAGTGTTCATGGCGTACCTTATGATATATAGCCAAGAGATACTGTACGATACAAACTTAGGAAATCTTAACTTCCTCAACTGCACATTCACCGTCTTGTTCCATTTACCGGGCATAGTGATCCATGCTGCAATACTATACCTGCAGGGTACAGAAATCGAACTACACGAACACAATTGAAGCAGATGCAGCTTTGGAGGTATAGAATAGATAAAGAGCAGAATGTGCACCTTATACTGTAAATGATGAACAAATATTCCTTTGTGTCTACATTTTACTGATTGAATTTGGAATTTGTACAGAAATACTGATTGTTGATTACCCTGCCCCATACAAAATCTTGAATAGAATACAGAATTGAACTGTTATAATAACCATATGTAATAGTAATTTTACTTTATCACACCAAAGTTATAAAAACTATTTTTGGTATCATAGAAAATATCTCCTTTGTTTCCTACTAGCACTAGAGAGTAGAATGTGCACCTTACTTTATCAACCATATGTTTGGTACATTTTGATTTATCTACTCGTTTGATAAACTCAAAATTACTTTTAAGTTAAAAACAATCAAAAGTTATAAATTGGTCATCCCCAACTTATAATTTTACACCTCAATAAGTATTTTTAGTTAACCAAAGATTAAAAGGCTATTTTGAACGGTACTTGAGTTGTGTCACCTCCTTCCATTCCATTTTACTTGTCAAATTTTTATTTGACACATCTATTGAGAAAAATAATGATAGGTGTAGTAAGTTTACTATTTTAACCCTATTAATTGATAGGGTCCCAAATATATTTACTCACTACATTTTTCAAAAACATTAACTCAATATTAATAAATTGAGGGTATAATAGGAAAAAGAAAATTGTCTTTTCCTTGATTTGTCAAAATGACAAGTAAAAAGAGAAATCAAACTAAGAAATATTTGGCAAGTAAATAGGAACGGATGAAGCATAAATTACAAGAACTAATAGTCATCCTCTACCACAATCTATACCTGCTAACATATGCACTTAATATTTTATTTTGATAATAAAATGTACCAAAGAGATCGAACTTATTACTCTACTAAGGCTTTTCGCACAATAGAGACTTTTTGCTAAGAACAAAAAATTAAATAAGTAAAAAACTACTCCCTCCATTCCATATTAATTTAATTTTTGAGACATTTTCTATTTTTCAAATTAACTTAATTGTTCACTTTTTAAGACTACTTTTAGAATGTTCTTTCAATTTTACCCTTTATTAGTTAGTATTGGAATTAGTGATTAATTAATATTTAGTTATTTTAATCATAAATTTGACAATAATTAATAAGGGTAAAAATGGAAAACTATGTTCAATTTATGTCTTAATCTACTTTTCTTAAAGGGTGTGAAACACCTTAAAATTTAAATTAATATGGAATGGAGGGAGTAAAGAAGAAGCCTAGCTAAATCAATAGTTTCACATTTTGGAAATTAAATTAATTTAAATAGAAGAGATGGATTAATTTATAAAAATAAAAGAGGAAAGGAAAATAAGAAACTTCCCACAATAGTTATTTCTAAAACTTCCCGCCAACAATCTGAGCCCAAAGACGAAATTACCCCTGTTGTTTCCAAGATTTGGCGTATAACCAAAGGGTAAAACCATAAATTAGGGTTTTCTTCAATTATCATGGGTTCTTTTCATTATTGATTTAAATGATTTAATTATGATCTCTTATGCATGAATTTATAAAGTTCAATGATTTTATGATGATTTGCCCCATGAACCCATGTAATCCTCATGTTTTCAAGAAATAATCATATAATGTGGGATTTTTATTATGAAGGAAGAGTTTTATGAAATTAAGCATGTATATCTAGATTTACATAAATTTATGATTAAATCCATAGATAAACCATGTTTTCTAAGTGTTGATGATTGAAAGTGGGTTTTGGACCTTTAAAGGTAAATTATGGACTTATGCATTTTCTTATGAAATCTACACAAATGTTTTAAGGATGCTTTGAGTGTAAAGTATCAATGATGATGATGTGTTATTGAGAGGATTTTCTCATATACACATAAAAGCAAGATGTGAAAGGTTTTTTTTTTCACATTATAAGGATTCTAAGGTTTAAAGGCTTTGTCACCTAATTGAATCAAAGATTAACGGCTATCCTAATGAACCTAGCTTGGATAGGTTATTTAAAGATACCTATCCATGGATGATTACTTAGTTTGGATTGGCAAGATGACGTACCTTTCAATGGATAATAATAAGAAGAAGAATTGACTATTATGTGGGATTTATGCTTAACACCGAGAGGATATTGAGATGGAAGCTCTCCCGTTAGTAGAGGTCAGGTTTCTAGAAGCTATCTCTTTATCCCTTACTTATGTGCCCCCATAGGAAGATTTTCTAGATAGACATTAGCTAGTTGATCTACTTTAGCTCAGATTTATGGTCCTTACCTTGAAAAGTAGGACAACCCTTTTCAGTGTGGGAGACACAGGGGATTATGTTATAGCTTACATGGTCTCTATATCGATTAAGGCTAATTCCCCACATTAATCCCCTATTTTAATTATTTGAAAAGTTGGTGAGAGTAATGTTTTCAACGTTCAAAGTCTATATGATGAGATTAATCTCAAGAAGCAAGTTATCGGGACTACATGCATGTTGCGTTGACTTGTATATACTTCTCCATTTACTTTTACTCGTTAAATATTTTAATTTGATTTCTATTTTTACTTGTCATGTTTGATAAATCAATAAAGAATACTCTATATGTCCCAATTTATGTGGCACTTTTCGTTTTTTGAGAGTCAAACTGTTTAAGTTTGACCGGAAATTTGCGCATGGAATCTTCAAATTTTTTGAAATGAAATTTATGTATTTGTAAACTACATAAAAAGTACTATAAGTCACAATAATTGAAAATTAAAAATGTTAAAAAAGATTTATGAGAAATTTACGGTCAAAGATAAACTTGTTTGAATCTCGAAATCCGAAAAGTGCCACATGAAATGGGACGGAGAGAGTAATTTTTTTTATTTCTATTATTTATACCCTCGATTATTTATATTGAATTATGATATTTTAAAAATATAGTGAGCAAATGTATTTGGGATCATATCAATTAATAGGTGAAATAGTAAATTCACTATACTAATTCTTCTTTTCTTAATAGGTATGTCAAATCAAAATTTGACAAGTAAATCCGTATGAAGGGAGTATTTGACATTGTAACTAAATATTATTGACACATTTTGTTTCACTAAAGTCAATTTGACTAATCTTCAACGCTAAATTGAATTAGATTAATTTAATATTTCAACTCCATATTTTAGAAAGTAAAAATCTATATGAAAATATTATAAGTGCCAATTCTTCTAAGTTCTCATATTACTATGATGAAAATATACATTTCAAAATATTCGTTAAAATTCATACCATTTGACTTTAAAAATCAAAACATAACAAGTAAAAATGAATAAAGGAAGTAAGATCAGTAACCATGTGATTTGACAAATTAATTAACGAAGCCCATCTTTTAAAAACATCCAATGTTTGGTGTTTAAAACGTGTACATGTAGAAGTATTTGCTTCATTACGACTAGAGCTGTCAAAAGGGGTTTGGCCCGCTAGGTCGGTCCAATCTAATCCTTGAATTAAGTGGGATTAGGCCTAATTTTTTTGGCCCATTTAAGAATGAGGCTTTTTAGCCCAGCCTCATTTGGTCCGCTAGCCTCGTAGGCCCAACCCGCAAGCCTCAGAGACCAGCCCGTGGGCTATGAATATTTAAAAATACTTTATATATATTTTTAGTAGTGTTTTATATTTGTAAAGTTTTTATCAATAAATATTTTTAAAAATAAAAAATCAAGTCTTATAAACTAGCCATTTTTTGTGGGAGGAATGGTGGCATGATCAACATTTTTTCGCTAAATCTTACGTTGACTATTATGTGTTTTTGTAAGTATTCACCGAAGTGTGTGATTCATAAATGTATTTTTGTAAGTATTCACTGAAGTGTGTGATTCATAAATGAAAATTTGTATGTATTGATGTCGTGTTCATAGACGTCAACGTTCGATACTCTTAGATACTCTTTCTAAGAGAGTAATATTGTTCATTTTTTGGTTAAAGGGCCAATTCGTCCCAACCCGTGGCCCGCTTAAGGCTGAATTGGACTGCTATTTTATAGGCCCTTTAATAAAAGAGCAACTTTCACATATAACAAACACAAAATTCATATTTGTATGCTATAACAAAGTTTGCATAATTGCGCTCCAAAGCAAACATGATATGACTAGGCTATTTCGCTATGTGTAAATTTCATATATGACATATATTATAGTACTATTTTCAAGTTATAACAGTAGATTTAGACTTTCAAGCTATAACATTAAAAATTTCAGGTTATAACAAGTTAAAAAAAAAAGAAATGTTTTTATTAATTGGAAAAAACTTTAAAAATAAATAAAAAGATAATAGAAAATTAAAAAAAACGGAATTAGAAATAATAAAGTAAAAAACTGAAATTGTGGGCTGTAATTTAATTTGAATTTATTGTAGATAATTAATGATTAGCATGAAATAAGGGATCCAAACTAATTAAGAATATTCAGTTTCCTTAATTCACTCTAATTTGTTAAAATTAATTCAAAAATCTAATTTTAAAAATCAATTTCCATTTATTTAATAAATGATTAATCTATTTATGGTTTTTTATTATGAATTAATAATATGTAATTAATAAGGAAAAAATGAAAAAAAAAAATGAAAATAGGGGTGTCAATTAAATTTGAATTAATTTAAGATAATTATTAATTAGCATGAATTAAGGAATCTCAAACTAATTAAGAATATTTAGTTTCCTTAATTCACTCAAATTTGTTAAATTAATTCAAAAATCTGATTTTATCCATTTTTCTTCCATGTTTCTCTCTCTTCAATTTTCTTCCAGAAATTTTGTCACTGGCGACTAATTGAAGTTTTTTTTTTGTTTGAAAAATCCTATTTTTTTTGTGATGGACAACTACGTATCAATATTAATTAAACATGACGGAATATGGGATCCTTCACGTTAGTATTTTTAATTGTTTACTATTTGTATTTAGATTTCAGTGAAATGAAAAAAAAAATGAAACTGTAAATCATATTTTGTGATTTTGTTTTTGTACATCGTCACTATATTGAATGTGATATATTTTTTTGTATAAACAATACGTTTTGTTCATAATACGTATTAACTGTTGTGAAATGTATAATATTAGTGATTTTCTGTTTTTGTGATTGTTTTGTGTACTTTTTTTTCTTAAAGTATAAAGTAATTGTATATTTATGAATGAATTTAATAGAATTATTGGAAAGAAATTTGTAAGAAAATGTGTATCGTAAGATGTAAAAAAAGTTATTTGGATTTTTGACGAATTGTATAACAAGTGTTTTAAGTTGGTATTAAATTATAAATTTTAGTGTGTTATATTAGATGTTGTCATTTCTAAAGTAATTAGTGAGTTAGAAATGAATTATTTGGTACGATAAGATATAGATATTTGTAATGTATGATTATTGTTGTATGAAATGTATATTAAGAAAGTATGAAATTTGTATGAAAGCGTGTCCAGTAATCTGTAAAAAAAGTTATTTGAAATTTGACGAATTGTATGATAAGTGTTTTAAGGTTGTATTAATTTTGAAATTTTATTGTTGACATTTTTGTATAAATTTGTGTGACATTAATGAAGTATTTTCGTAAAAAAAATGCACATATTTGTTGTATGAAATTTGTATTAAAATAGTATGAAAGTGTTTGGAATGTACTATTTGAATGATATTTGTATGAAATGTTTTTTGATTGAATATAAAAATTGTTTTGTAATGTTCTGTCTGACTAAATGATATTTATATTTCGAATTGTTTGTTTATAATGTGAGACTAATTTATATTTTTTTTAATGAAACAGGGAATTATGTCGATTTTCAAATGGAGGGGGTTTGCTGATGTGAAATTCAAAAGGTCAAAAGTTACCTGTAGTAGATGTCGTCAAGTTGGACATAACAGGAAAACATATTCAAATTATCCTATGCAAAAATAATGAATGTTCATTTGTTAAGACTATATATAATTTTTTTTTTTTTGTTGGTTATATTAATGTTTTGGTTTGATATAAAACATAATAATTTTGTGTTTAGCGTACTGGTTATTATTTATACACTGTTCATTCAGTTATCATACATAATGCATATTGTTATAAATTTAGTGCTTGATATGTTTAGTGTTTCAAAACACTAAACATAGTTTAAATAGCGAAACAACAATAATAACAATAACATAGTTAGTGAAATTCCACAAATGGGATCTGGAATGGTAAAATATTACATACCTTACCACTATCTCGCGAAGGTAGATAGGCTATTTCCGAAAGACTCTCGTCTCAAGTGCAATAAATCCAACTATAGGAAGAAGGAGACAACTGAGTAGTTGAGATTCCTTTTAGTTCAAATGATACAATTTTTGATAGGAGCCTAAATCAATAATTTCACATTTTGAAATTAAACTAATTTAAATAGAAGCAATGCGATTAATTTATAAAAATAAAAGAGGAAAAGAAAATAAAAAATTCCCCACAAAAGTTATTTCTAAATCTTCCCGCCAACAATATGAGCCTGGAGACGAAATTACCCCTGTCTTATTCCCAGGACTCAGCGTATAACCAAAGGGTAAAACCATAAATATCCTTCAACGAATAACGAACTTTTTTTCCTTTGTAGAGCAGAATTCACCTTCCCAAGTAGAATGAAAAACGGAAAAGCCTAAATAAATTTAATCCCAAATAGAATAAGATTAGGAAAACAAATAAGCATTATAAATACAATACGTATAATCTGAGAAGCCATTAAAGCATCAAAAGAAAAACTCATTCATCAATAAATTAAGTATGTCTTGGAAAAAGCTTAAGTTGTTGGGCAGGGGTTCTTATGGTACGGTGTCTCTTGCCACTCCATTAACCGATTACTATACATTATTTGCTGCTGTCAAATCCGCCGAAGATGATCGCTCGTCTTCCCTCCGAGTAGAAGGACAAATATTGCATGCACTGAGAGGGTCGGACTACGTAATTAAGTGCTTTGGAGAAGATGTAAGCATCGAAAACGGTAAAAAAACTTATAACCTCTTCCTCGAGTATGCTGCTGGTGGAACTTTGCATGACTTAATCCATAAGTCGAAGATGGTGCTCGAAGAATCAGAGGCTGCCTACTATGCTTTTCAAATCTTAGTCGGGATTTGTCATGTTCATCGTAAAGGATTTATCCATTGCGATCTGAAACCAGCTAATATACTTGTTTTTCCTGGCGGACAACATGGCCTTGCAAATGTGAAACTGGCTGATTTTGGGCTATCGTTGAGATCTGAAACAAACACATGTTGGGACACATCATTGAAGAAGCGTCGTCGCCGCAGAGGGACTCTACTATATGCAGCACCGGAATCTGTAGTGTGTGGGATTCAAGATAAAGCTGTTGATATTTGGGCATTTGGATGCATACTTGTAGAAATGCTCACGGGAAAGCGGGCATGGTCAGAATGTCAAAATAAGAATGAATTAAAATTGAAGATAGCATATGAAAAACTAGAGATACCAAATAATATATCTAATGATGCAAAGGACTTTCTGAGTAAGTGTTTGGACAGAGATCATAATTGGAGATGGAATGCGGAGATGCTACTTAATCATTCATTCATCACGAACTATGTTAATAAGAAGATGATTCATGAGTTGATCCAGCGGCCTTTTGGTGATGCAGGACTCAAAACATTGGTTTCTTTGGAGCACTTATTCACAACAACTAGTTTCTATTATCCTCATAACTCCTACTTGAGAGAATCAAGCAGTATTATTACAAGCCTCCCTGAGACTAATAATAATAACGCAACAGGAGACGAGCCTCTACTATGGATGAATTTCAGAAACTTACATATATAATGAAGCTTACTTACTACTCATCCCTTTTGTCATCTTGGGTGTGCGACTCTTCAATAAACCTCAACTACTGAAGTGAAGACTAACTGGCTGATTAGGAAGCAAAGCTAGTATATGCATAGTTGGTAAATATAACCAATTTGTAATCATATTAATGTGATCTCTTAATTTTTAATCGAAAACAATTTATGCATATGTTAATTATACAAAGATGGTATATTTATGAAGATTTTCATTTAAGTATGTTACTGTTCTGCTAAAAAAAGGAATTAATGTGTTTTGTCTCCATTACACTATCTAGTAGATTGTCTCTATTGTTTCTGCCGTAGATTTTTGAGTTAAGACAATGTTTATAGTTTAAAATATCCAAAGAATCATCGTACCAATGGAATGAGGTCTTGTGTTTAAAAGTGATAACAACGAAGCCAAAATATTTCCAATTAGAAATCTAAAGCATCAGCGTAGTCTTTTATCTTTCAAGTAAATATTGTACTTACAAAGTTACTCATCTCTGTTCTTCCGCATTCTCTGTTTCTTGCAGGAACAAAAAATTAGTGATGGCAACAAAGCCGAGGCTACTTGATGGAGAAACTAGTGCTTTGACTCTGAAGCTTGGAAATAATTAATAATTACTCGATGAAATAGTCTAACTGCGTAAGTTTCCTCAAACATCATCTATTACCTATTTTGATGGAGGTAACAAGCATAGGCAGATCTACGATATCATAACCTATGAGTTCACGTGAGCCCAATAGCTTTTATCCAGAGACTTTGTATTTGATTGTGAACACAATTATCACATATAGTGTTGTATGAATTGACTCCATCATACTAATATTATTAGCATAGTAGTACCTACATGTTGGGTTACCCTATCGTAGTTCCTTACTATTAGGTAAAATCTACGCCTACACTGACACATGTAATTTCATGGCAATAAACTAAAGCTGTCTGAAGCCAATATTTGATATTACGATATTTGTTTGGAGATCTTTTTGAACACACCTTGATTTACCACGATGTTCCAAAGTCACCAGTAAATCACAATCTGCACAACGACAATTCTCCAATTAATTTCAAAAAGTTCCCGCCAATGACCTGAGCCTGGAGACGAAATTAGCCCCGTCTTATTCTCAAGAATCAGTTATAACTGAAGGGTAAAACCGTAAGTATACCAAAAACTGTTCATAACGAACTTAGCAAAGACACTTCTCTGTAGGTATAACAGACTATAAACAGAGCTCTGTTTCGTTCTCTCTGCAAAAAAAGGGAAAAAAAAGGAAAGAAGAAGAAGATGAATTTCTCAGGTATGAAACTTCGGGCCATAAATGGTGTGAAATCTTACTTCAATAGGACTTGGAACTTTGACGACATGATGAATATTGATGAAATTCCCCATGAAGTTCACACAAGATTGAAGAAGGTACATACACATTCATCCAAACACTTCGATTCTTTCAATTTCCTTCTACTTGAAATTTCTCTGAGATTTTTCTTTATTGTAATCTGGTTAGTAGTACGTAATAGCCAATCAGAAGATGATTATATGCTAAAAATCCCCAATTCTTATATTGTCATCATTGATGAATTTCGATTCTCAGAAGATGTTTAGGTATTGCATTATTTTATTATGTCTTCATGATTGATGAATTTCGACTCTCAAAAGATTTTGAAGTTTGCCGTTTTTCTCCTCTTCGTTTGCACTTTGCTAATGTTGTTTGAGTCGAATTTTACTTTAAGATATTACTTTCACTAATCTTCATTTTTTAGCAGTTTGATGAACTTAAATTCTTCAAAGTATGAATGATTGAATGGTGTCAAGCATTTTCTAACATCCCAAAACTAAAGTGTATCAAATAAATTGGGACGGGGATTTAATTAATTTGTTATAAGCAATTTCAGATTTCAGCTTCTTGTGATTGATTAGTTTTTTGTTGTATAGGTGTATCTTACTCTTTTCTGTGCCATGTTGAGCTCTGCTTTTGGATCCTATTTGCAATGGATCTCGATAGCCAGAGGGAAATTCACAGTCCTTTCTTGTGTAGCAAGTTTAATCTGGATTTACTTTACTCCACCAGGGAGACTGGTATGTATGTGATCAATGACTCGTATATTTTGTTGAATTATTCTTGAAGTCGCTTCTTATAATGTAAATCTTATGTCATATGCAGAAGACGAGAGTCTTACTCTTGATGTTGGCTGCCTATTCATTCGGTGCTTCTATTAGTGCTTATATCAATTATCTCTACAAAATCGAGCAATGGTAGGACTCAAAAGATACTAAGACTAAGCATTGCTTATATATCTGTTGTTCAAGTTTTCTTTTTTACTGCTTTCTTGTCATATCATAGTATTAAGAACCTGTTCATATCGCGGTTTGTTCTCCAGCTATGTTCTCAAACTTTTGTTAGGTGACACAATGGTCTCTGGAAATTTCTTGTATAGAGCCACCAGAACAAGGGAAAGGATGAAAATCTACTACAGTTGCCTGCCATATTGCTTTGTTCTAATGATCTCCGGAATTGCTTCCATTCTCTTGGACAGCAAGAGCACAGCATTTTGGGTGATAAACGTAAGCATTTGTATGCATACAATGTAATCACAGTCATTTTGAACTTGTCTCTGTCTAATGAATGGATTTTTTGAATAGATACACACTCAGCAGATGTTGTTCATGGCGTTCCTTGTGATATATAGCCAAGAGATACTGTTCAATGCTAACTTAGGAGATATTGACTTCATCAACTGCACGTTCACCGCCTTCTTCCATTTACCAGGCATAGTGATCCATGCTGCTGCAAGACTATACCTGCAGCATGCAGAAATTGAGCAACACAATTAAAGCTGATGCACCTTGGAAGTATAGAATAAATAGAAAGAGTAGAATATAATGTACACCTCACTGTAAATGATGAACAAATATTCTTTTGTATGGTTGATTAATTACCTTACACCATACAAAATCTTGAATAGAATGAATACACATAATTGTTCTTCAATTCCATCTTTTTTCTTCTTCAAGAAAGTGCAATAATTGAGTTAACAATAGAGTAGAGGTTTGAAGACAAACCCTAAAGAATAAGGAAATGAGTTTAGGTCAGAAGAAGTACGTACTTTGAATGTAAGTTTAATAATGCAATTTATGAGGCATGACATGAGAGCGAGAATTGATAGACAAGTCATCCCTTAGAAGAAGTTTTAAAGATTTGGGTCAATAATCTAAGGAAATACGAAGATTGACAATGATGTTATACATATTATTGGAACGAGAAGGATGAAATAGAGTCTATCATTTTGGTGCCTTGTGTGATAACTTAAGCATGCAACATTCAACACACCAATTGAACTTTGAGGAAAAGAAAATCTTCGACGTCAAAAAGAATCAATACAAATAGTAGCTGATAAATTAATCCCTTTTTACTAGTCTTGTTGGATACTAAGGAGTTCAAAATTTTAAAGACGGGTAAAGTTTAGGTAAAATGATTTAACATATTTTGTTTGAGTGTAACACAAAAGGGCATTTCATGGTATGTATCCCCTTTAGAAACAAGAAAACTTACTTCATTTAAAACAACCCTCTTACATAAGTAGTTCACTGTTTTAGGTTCCTAATTAATATCTTCATTAAACTTAAACAATCTTTTTTTTCATTCATTAAACTTAAACACTCTTCACTCTCCAATCAAAGATTCGTCCACATAAAACCTCTGACCATTTAGATGACCAGAAAATTCACAATCCATACTTGAATAAAATTGGTTGATATATCTAGTGGCTAAATTACCCTCAAAAGTCTAATTGTTGCCTGTAACACCTCACAAAAATTCTATACTAAGGGTCTGGACCATTCGTTGTAAGAATATAAACTTGAATCGAGCGATGTCCTACTTGTACATATGTGTTAAGGTTCATTCCTAGATGGCCTGCTAACACGTCTCTGAATTAAAGCTGATGTTAGTTGATGAAACTAACATCAACTAGAACAAACCCCAAGTAAAATCCACATATGACTTAAAAACATACCCGAAAAGCTGATGGGCAATGGCAAGAGCTGTGGTCGTCTTTCCGGTTCCAGGAGGACCATAAAACAACATATGCGGGCACTATAAGAAATAAAAAAGTGATAACAACGTTTCTTCACAGTAAAGTAAAGGATGCTGAATTTTACATTCTCAACAGGAAATTTAAGAAAACACTAGGAGTAAGTGTTTAATGTGCTTGGCAATAAATCAATCAAATGATAGTAATGGTTTACGTTAGTGGTCTCGAGAGTGTTGGTGAGGACTCGAACGACCTCATCCTGGTGAGCTACATCCTTCACTTGCTTCGGTCGACTGCAAAAATCTAAAAGTTACATATCCATGGCTGAGAGCTTTGCATAGAAAAGAGGAGTTAAGTTGATTGGAAGGTTACTATTTCTCGACCCATGGCTGAGAGCTTTGCATGACTGGTGCCATAGGTTGGAGAGGAAGAAGAAGAAATGGGAAAATTGCCAATATGTTTACGCAGTCATTTGGGCCGACTCTCAACTTATTAACCCAAATGAATTTGGCCCAACACTTTATAATTTAAAATATACATATTATTCCACTAATTAATAATATTTATTTTTATATGATAAATTTTATTTTTATATATTATTATTATTATATTTTATTTTTAAAGTGAAAAATGATATTTGAAAATTGGAAATTTACTATCAAATTCAACTTAATTCAAATGTACTAAACAGTAAACATAGTATAATATGACATATTTTACTAATTAACATAATAGATCTGTCATTTACCATATAACCAGTACTTATAATTTGAATACATTTTTTTTTTCAAAAAAATATCCATTTTTCTATTTGCATTTTTCTTTATTATAGCAAATTCAATTTGGATCATAGTGAGAAAAAAAAAGAAGAACGAAGAATATTAGCTGATTAGTCCAATTCAAACAAGTGAGCCCCTAACGGTCGCAGAGACTTCACATTCTTCTTCTTCGTTTTCTTGGAGAACAGGGTGATGAAAAATTCTTAGAAGGAGAAAGTAACGGTGATCCTCTTCTTCTGTTTCGAGTGCGTCGGTGAAGAGACAAGCAATGGAGGCGAATTCATCGGGGTTGGAGAATAATCACACCGGTAAATTGAATGCTGGAGCCGCCAAGAAACGGCCGACACTTTCTGATATCTCGAATCATATAACTGCCTCTGCTCGTAACTCGATTCCTCATTCCTCCAAACTCGCAAGTGTTTCTCAGATTTTGTTCTCTGTTTGTATAAATGGCTTGATAATGTGTACTTTTTTGCTGTAGGAAGGTAATTATAGTACTGGGGTTTTCTTTTTCTTTGCGTTTTTTTATTATTGGTTCGATGATTTACTCTTTTGTGTGTTGGTTATGGGGTTTCTTGCGTAAATTTGTGTATGGAAAGAGGAAAATGTAGGTGGGTTTTGTGATTTATTTTTTTGGGGTTTTTCTTTCTTGGAATTTCATGAGAAATGATCAAAGATACTGGGTAAAAATCAGTTTAGAAAATCAAGTGAAGTGATTTGAGGGTTTAAAAACTATGTTTGAGTTAAGTGTTCTTTTAATGGTTAAAAAATATTATGATACCATTTCCTCCAGCCTTCATTTGGCACAAGACAATGTGTTGGAATTAAGGAATCCAAAACATAATACACATTTCTGTCAAAGGAAATGTAGAGATCTAAACATATACAAACACCTAGCTAGCATAGTAGTATATTATTCAGCAATACAGTACAACATTCAGGTAAAATCCTATAATCACATTTGTTTCTTCCGCCTCATGAGATAACCTATTGCTCCCATCATTAGGTTTCATATAACCGGCAGATGATCAGAAAATAGAAGAAGTTGAGCAAACTCAAAAAAGTAAGTAGCCAGAAATAGTAATCCAGGTGACCCTATTAATGTTGCTCGAAAGCCAGCTCGTTTTGCCTCTAGTTGGTGAAAGCCAATCCACACTACTCACCAGAATACTTACAACCCAACTCGACACAGCAGTCCCAACAGTGTACATAGCTGACGCCATGCTGGTCATGCTTTTGGGTAATAGAGAGTAGAAGAACTCAATCTGTCCAACTGCATGGGCAGCCTCAGCCACTCCGAGTAGTGCATACTGTGGCACGAGCCACATAGCAGACATGTACACTAAGGAACTTGGGTCGTCTTCATGCCCTTCCTCTATTGCCTTTTGCCGTCTTATGGTTTCTGTTATTGCTGACAACTCCATAGACATACAGCTACTACTGGTGCAGCTCATAGGAAAGTAGGAACTGTTCAGTATGGTATGTCCAGGATGTACTAGAAAATACCTCCAAGTGGTGAAATGGTCTTTATGAATTTTTGAGATGAGTACATGTTGGGTGGGGGGAGAAAGTCCATCTCAGGAATGGTGGCAGAAACTCTGTTAGTGATGGTAATGTGCGTGTCCATATCCCCTTTCCCTTCTCCGCAACAACGAGTCTCTTTCTCTCTTTCTGAAACATTGCGAGTGGTACGGATTCAACAATTGAAAGTACCTTTCCCCCATCCTACGTTTCTATCTACAGTGTGATTGAAAGATGAGAGGCGAAGTGAGAAATGGCCCTCGTGAACTATTTGATCAAGTTTTCTTTTTTCGATCACAGGTTATATTAATTCCCCTCTATCTTATCACAATTACTTCTTTTCATTATGAGGCAATTGGTTTAGTATAGGTATTTTTAAAGATGTAATGTTCGAGCTCATTTTGTATAGGTATTTGTTTGTTTATTTGTGTACATTAAGGAACCACTTTAACTACCCAAATACTATATAGTGTACCTTGATGTATATAATACTGAATGTTTTGTGAAAGGAATAAATATTATCCATTTTCAAGCCTTTGCGTTCTTGCCATCTTTTACTTCCTGACTAGATTATCAACCTTGTAAATTGATTGGTAACATTTTGAATTGCTTCAGAGTGTTGCTCGGTTATTTGGATCTTCCATATCGGTGAAGGACCTAATTAGTGTGTCTGGGGTAAGTTTATATCTGGTTCTGTAGTGTTAGTTTGATATTGCTTTTAGACCAACTAGGGGATCATCTGTAAGTTTTCACAAGATCAATGCGTTCATCTATCAGAGTGCCTTTGCTTTACCTTCATGTATATAATACTGAATGTAGCAGTATAGGTTTATTAAGAAATTCTCCTTCTTAATACTGTCGTCTTTATGTGTGGTTCTAATTTATTCTTTTTATTTCCAATGAAGGCTATTATAAATTTCAGCATTTTCTTTGGGCTTTTGATAATTGGGCTATGCTGATGTGCTCAATCTGAAAAAGTTTATTTGCCAATTTTAGTAGTAGTAGTAGTAGTAAAAAATAAGGAAAAGAAGAGAGGTTGTTTTGTGGAATGTCTTGCTTGATTAGTACTTTTAAACTCCGAGGATAAGATAATGTCTTTAAATATCTTAAAACGAGAAATCAAGCATAAAATCCTTTTGATTGGTGTCAATATATGGATTCTTAACTGAAAATATACAGATTCTAATATTGAACCTGGACAATTGCTTAACAATGTTCTTCAAATTAGAGCATGCATAGTGTATGCTTGTTACTTATTTCAAATATAATCACTTGTGGTGTTCCACGGTGATTTTGCAAACATCTGTTGTTGTCACGCCCCGAGCCTACACCCTGGGCGGGACCGGCACCTGGAGACCATTGCTGGCCCCAGGCGAACCCTTGGCCTGGCTTTCTTAACTCAGCGGAAACCTAACTCAACAGAATAACTCAACGTCATGCAAAGACATAAACAACTTAACTAATAAAATATGGCCCAAAGGGCAACTCGAGTCTCAAAATAGAATATTTACATATATATACATATACATGGATGAGAGACTCAAAACTAACTGACTGACTGACTGTCTATTGAAGCCTCTAATATACTGAGATGGATGTGGGGACAGACCCCGCAACATCCTAATAGAACAAAACTAAGTACACCAAATAATTGAGTCCTCCGGAATGCAAGGAGGCTCACCACAGACTCCGGAGTGCTCAGCTGGATCAACGACGTGCAGGATGCTGATCCGGGGTACCTGTATCTGCATCATAAGACGATGCAGGCCAACTGGCATCAGTACATGGAATGTACGAATATGTGAGCTGGAAAAGCTGAACCACAACTTAAGCTTGAAAGGAGAACAAGAGATCACTTACCTTGACTCTGAACGACTCATATACATAACTGAACTCAAAGTAAAGCAATAAGACACGAGCCACACATATAAAGCTTGTAAAAGAATGTAAACAACTTAGATCGTTAAGGATAAAATGACAACAAACTCCACTTTTCTTTTATAAATATAATACAGCTTTTGTGGGAGGTTCTTTAACCGACAACCACCACTACGAGCCTTAGTGATGATACAACGTTTTACCTCACGTTGCCAAAGGACCATCCTATACCTTGCCATCGATATAGGACCTTACTTTTGCTTAGTGGATCCACTAGCCTAATCTTACGTGATCATCTAAAAAGAATGATACGTCAAGTCCCATGTTGGCGCATGGTTCTTATGGAGAGTCGAGTTAATATGAACTCGTGTCCCCAATTCGGTGCTCAATACTACTCCCAAAAATACTTTGGCTCATGCTTTTAAAATAACTTCTTTCTTTGATTGAGACGATTACTCAAAACTTAGCCCAAAGGCTCTTTTTGGAAAACATGGCTCCTTTCTTACTTAAATGTAAAGACATTTAGAACTTCTTTGGGAAGTACATAGTTCCCTAATTACTTTGGAGAAATGGACTCGACTCTTTACTCCTTACTTTACTTAAACTCTTTACTTTTGACTTGACTTGAAACGACGTTAAGACGTTCAATAACGACTCTTGAAAAGCTTTAAAGACTTGCTTTGGCTTGCTTAACTTCTAAGCTTGGCTCTAACTCCACTTGACTTCTAACTTCACTTGACTTGATCCTAACTTTCTTGAATTTAATTATGGATTCAAGGACTTGATTGATATTTGGAAGGACCTCGTGGTGTTTAGGAATGATTTGGGACAGCCAAACTAAAGAAAATCTTCGATCATAAATTCTGAAAACAGTGGAGTCCGCGTCCTGTCCGCGACGCGGAGAAGATTTTGTTCACAGAGGGAACAAGTCCGCGACACAGACTTGTTTCATGTAAGAAGCCCGACTTTTCTCCTTCATTTTTCCAACTCTAAACCCTCTTAACTTCAAAGGTTCTAACCCCAATCACTTAGAAACATAAAATCCCTCAACCTTCAATAGAATTCAACTCAAAACCCCAACCGGAAACAAGTCCCAAATCATCAAGAATCTCAACATTTCAATCAACAACAATACCAACTATAATTTCAACAACAACAACTAACAACTTTAACAACTTCAACCACAACAACTCACAACTTTAACAACAAAGCCAATCCTTTCTTAATGAATAAAAGGGGT